GGGGTGGTGGGGGGGAGATTAGATCTAGACCTGATACTTGTTTAAGGGGCTGTTGAGATTGTGTCTAGTGGCTGAATGCAATCAGATTAACAGGTGCCTCCTTTTTGTTTCCAGCAGATTCATCAGATTGATATCTTCTCTGGGTTTTACTCAGGGCCAGCCAGAGGTGTGTGTCTGTTAATTTGATTGCATTCAACAAGAGTCTCAACAGAATAAGGGTGCATTCCCATAGATTTTAGATCGATCTATCCCATGAGGGTCTCACTAGATAACTGTCATATAATCTGGCTTAAATGTCCGTACCACCTACTACAAGCTGTTGGGGGGTAATTAACTTCCGTGCCCGCTCGGCTGACAGCCATTTAGTGTGAACCCCCAGGGAGTTACGTTGATCTAGTTGGATCGATCTAATCTCTGAATGCATTCATGCATTAAAAATCTAAGAATCCACTAGCTAGGTCAATCCAAATCATTTTCAAGGCCCTTAAAAACATTCAAAACAAGTAGATCCATGAACTGACAGATTCACGCACCAATAATGGCTGACCCACTTGAAACCTTGAAAAGATTTCCAATGGGGATTTTGCAGTAGGCATTAAAGTTGGTCGGCCATATTTGATCTGCAGATCTGTTAGACTGCGGATCAAATTGGTTGAAAATACAACACAAGTCCAGATGCCAATTTACCTGATTCTTGTAGATATCTGTACACTAGAAAATTCACTTCATCGCTGCTGAAGCTCATCGTGACCAGACAATGTCAGCTTACGGCGTCAACAATCATCTGATGGCGGAATGAGTGAAACCTGCAACAACAACAATAGTCACTTATTACAACAACAGTCATAATATGGCAAAAGCCACAGTGGTACCAACATACCAAGATTACAGTAACAATCCATAACAGAAATGTATCTTTATATATAATATATATATTCTAATCAAGCTTTTAAAAATCTTAGTTTTTTTTTCTTTTATTTTCATTTTGCCAAATGTATCACTGAATATGTTCAATTTATTCTGTTTGGCTCAAATCATCCACCTTTTTAGCTAAAAGAAACTCCTACCCCAGACTGAGCAGATGGGCAGTACAAACCAACCACAAAACATGTCATCAACATCTGCATCATTTGTAATATTATACACTCATCTCAATAATTTAAATTCAACAGATGGCTGAGTAAAACAAGGTCAACATCTCTTAAGGCCCTGACACATTTTATAGGCTTCAACAGTACTTAACCCGCATCTGCTTATATATAATTTATTTTATTTACTATTTTTCCATATATATATATATATATATATATATATATATATATATATATATATACTAATTTTCATCAAACCAAAATATTTTCAGCATTTGATAAAATTAGGCCTTTCTCACGGTTTGCGTGTTTGAACNGTGTAATATATATATATATATATATATATATATATATATATATATATATATATATATATATATAATAAAAGAAAAAGAAGAACAGCAACTTTCTTGCCCCGACCGGTTTCTTTCTTTCTTCAGGGGGTTTTGTTTATTTGTTACTAGGTGATGTACTTCTTTCGTAAAGGGTTTTAATAAAATGTCTAGAAAATTGCTAAGTCTGTGAGTTTCGCATGCTGGCCCAGCTATAATTGGACGCATTTTTAAATCACTCGTATCATTGACTTCTACGTAGGTCGACTTTGTTGTCTTGCATGCTTTGTTGATGCATTCGCTTTTATGTATTTTAGGGAGTCCATAGAAATTGCTCACTTTGTATTCAAAATTTGTGAGATAGTCACGTTCCTTATCTAGTAGGCCTTTCCCATGTAGCGTTAAAAGATTGTTTAACTTGTGCATAGTGGTTTCGGGGTGATATGTCGTATATATATATATATATATATATATATATATATATATATATATATATATATATATAGATAGATAGATAGATAGATAGTAGTTAGAGAACCTTTTAATGTAAAAACATTTCTGTGTTGAATAAATTATTATTATTATTATTTTTATAATTATTATTAAACCAAACCAACGGAGACCTGCCCATATTACAAATAAATTCCAATGGCCAACATTGACCAATGACCACTGTAACCAGAAAAAAAGCTCCTTTGGTCCCTGGTGTAGGATTTCTGTTTGTCTAGGTCAGATTATGCAATATGTTCACCTGAGCTCCCCTTACTGGGCATGATGCCAGCTTCTCAGGCAGAGTTTTGAAGGAAAAGTATTTTGTACTACAGTTTACCAGCCTAATAGAGTAATTAATATTTGCTTATAAATATGAAATAATATATCACTGAAAATAAGTGTGTGTGTGTGTGTGTGTGGGTGTGTGTGTGTGTGTGCGTGTGAGAGAGAGAGAGAGAGAGAGAGAGGGTCTAAAAATACAATAGGTAATAAATCAAAGATCAATCCTGTGGCACAACAATGACTTAAATTCTTAAAACCAAGGACAACAAATTTGCCTGANGCGGGCGGCGGAGGCAATCGAATCTGGTCAGAGGTTACTTGACACGATGGAGATAGGCTACAGTGAAAAGGTTAGTGTCAAGTTAGCTCTGAAGCTCAGGGTGACCTGCTGTCACTTACACTTATTTTATTGTTCTTACATCAAAATAGTTTTGAGCAAAAACAAAAGTAAATAAATAAATACTTGATACTTTAACTTAGTCAGGGTGACGAGTTAAAGATAATATTAGAACCATTTATTTTCAGTTACTTGTTTTTTTTTTTTTTCCTGCGGTGATACTAGTAACTGGGTCATTCCCCTGAAGTAACAAATGCCAAAAAGATAACCAAAAAACGTCAAACTAGGTTCTGAAGAAAAAAACAACAACTCTTATCTGAAATTCTGGCAAAAGACTGAAAATAAAAAGACAAAAGATGTTATCTTATCTCTGTTATGGCAAGGATTGTAACAAAGTGGTATCTTAACCTTTAGAGGAGAATGGGTGTGCTAGGAACATCATATCACTTTTCTAAAAAACACAAAAGTTGAACAAAATGGATTATTTACCTTTTCAGCCACTTTATACATAGATAAACCAATCTTGCCATCATAAATCACTTACAATTACTATTATTTAATAAGATTCATATCACCCTACTTCTTGGAAACTTACAAATGAAACGACGTTTTTTAACATGTTTAACATGCGGCAAAGCCAAGCATGTCTTTAGATTTAAAGTTCTTCTTTTCAATCAGACTTCTTGCAAATGAAACATTTACACCCGGGGAGGGGGGGGGGGGCATTAGATCTAGACCTGATACTTGTTCAAGGGGCTGTTGAGATTGTGTCTAGTGGCTGAATGCAATCAGATTAACAGGTGCCTCCTTTTTGTTTCCATCAGATTCATCAGATTAATATCTTCTCTGGGTTTTACTCAGGGCCAGCCAGAGGTGTGTGTCTGTTAATTTGACTGCATTCAACAAGAGTCTCAACAGAATAAGGGTGCATTCCCATAGATTTTAGATCGATCTATCCCATGAGGGTCTCACTAGATTACTGTCAGATAATCTGGCTTAAATGTCCGTACCACCTACTACAAGCTGTTGGGGGGTAATTAACTTCCGTGCCCGCTCGGCTGACAGCCATTTAGTGTGAACCCCCAGGGAGTTACGTTGATCTAGTTGGATCGATCTAATCTCTGGGAATGGGGTCTAAGAATCCACTAGCTAGGTCAATCCAAATCATTTTCAAGGCCCTTAAAAACATTCAAAACAAGTAGATCCATGAACTAACAGATTCACGCACCAAAGATGGCTGACCCACTTGAAACCTTGAAAAGATTTCCAATGGGGATTTTGCAGTAGGCATTAAAGTGGGTCGGCCATATTTGATCTGCAGATCTGTTAGACTGCGGATCAACTTTGGTCAAAAATACAACACAAGTCCAGATGCCAATTTACCTGATTCTTGTAGATATCTGTACACTAGAAAATTCACTTCATCGCTGCTGAAGCTCATCGTGACCAGACAATGTCAGCTTACGGCGTCAACAATCATCTGATGGCGGAATGAGTGAAACCTGCAACAACAACAATAGTCACTTATTACAACAACAGTCATAATATGGCAAAAAACCACAGTGGTACCAACATACAAAGATTACAGTAACAATCCATAACAGAAATGTATATTTAGATATATATATTCTAATCAAGCTTTTAAAAATCTTAGTTTTTTTTTCTTTTATTTTCATTTTGCCAAATGTATCACGGAATATGTTCAATTTATTTTGTTTGGCTCAAATCATCCAGCTTTTTAGCTAAAAGAAACTCCTACCCCAGACTGAGCAGATGGGCACTGCAGTACAAACCAACCACAAAACATGTCATCAACATCTGCATCATTTGTAATATTATACACTCATCTCAATAATTTAAATTCAACAGATGGCTGAGTAAAACAAGGTCAACATCTCTTAAGGCCCTGACACATTTTATAGGCTTCAACAGTACTTAACCCGCATCTGCTTATATATAATTTATTTTATTTACTATTTTTCCATATATAGATAGATAGATAGATAGATAGATAGATAGATATATAGATAGATAGATAGATTAATGTAAAAACATTTCTGTGTTCAATAAATTATTATCATTTTTATTATTATTATTAAACCACACCAACGGAGACCTGCCCATATTACAAATAAATTCCAATGGCCAACATTGACCAATGACCACTGTAACCAGAAAAAAAGCTCCTTTGGTCCCTGGTGTAGGATTTCTGTTTGTCTAGGTCAGATTATGCAATATGTTCACCTGAGCTCCCCTTACTGGGCATGATGCCAGCTTCTGTGGCAGAGTTTTGAAGGAAAAGTATTTTGTACTACAGTTTACCAGCCTAATAGAGTAATTAATATTTTCTTATAAATACGAAATAATATATCACTGAAATAAGTGTGTGTGTGTGTGTGTGTGTGTGTGTGTGTGTGAGAGAGAGCGAGAGAGAGAGAGAGAGAGAGAGAGGGGGGTCTAAAAATACAATAGGTAATAAATCGAAGGTCAATCCTGTGGCACAACAATGACTTAAATTCTTAAAACCAAGGACAACAAATTTGCCTAATAAAAATATACTGCAAAAATATCAAAACTGATTTAAGTCAGAGTAATATGGTTCCTGAATAATACAGAATACAGAAACAAGCACTCGGCAATTAGCTGAAGCATTCCACATCTGATGAGTGCATTTCCCCCCCCCCCCCCCCAAGCCATCATGACCTTTTCTTCCTTTTCAAATAAATTTAGGACAATCTTTCCTTAAAATCCTTAGTGAGGGACCAAATGGTATTAATTTATTTATAATCTTGATGGCATTTCACAGATCAATATTCCACGACTGAAATTAGCCTCATCCCAATCAATACTGATGTAATATCTCATTATTTGTTTATATCACCCCTCCTCCCTAGCTTCCCTTCTCTTACTTCCTTCTATATATCTAATGAAATCCTCGGGTAATTAGGAAAAAAATCGATATTCCAAGACAGTAATAAGTCAGACAACAACAGTCAGAGAAAGGCAGACCAGAGCTTAGCTATGATGACTATCACAATATGAAAATACAAAATCAATGCTAGATGACATACATTCTGGGCCTGGTTTCACAAAATGCACTTCTGTCACAAAATTGGCTTATTTTTTCACAACTGGTCCAAAAAAAAAGTTTTTTGGTCTCATCTCTCTAACACTATGTGTTTCTTGTTCTTACAATGGACACAGTATTCCACTTTAAAATCGCATCATTTACTGATGTATCTTGAGTCAGAGTACACTTAATTTCAT